AAAAAAAATAAAAATAAAAAACAGACCGCGCGCGAACAAATCACGTATAGCAGCGGCACAACCTCCTACACCTCTATATATGCAGTGCGCACTTACAGGAGGACAAAGACGTCGCTATTAACGCGCGAAACGAGCATTCAAGGCTCGAATTAGTATTTTTCTCTCTCGCTCTCTCGCTCTTTCTCACTCGTATATAACGACGAGGTCGAACTTCCAGAGTGATGTCTCTTTTTGCGCGCTCGCGAGCCGAGTCGAGCGATGCATATAGCGAAAGCCTCGGCCATTATAGAGCTCGCGATTGTTTCTTATATAACTTCTAGAGCAACGAATATGAGCTAGAGAGAGAGATCATGTAACGAGACTCGCCTACACACACACACAAGTGAGCGCATACACGCCTCGCCTCTATCACACCTTTGTATTATTATAAGCCTTTTTACCTCTGACCTTGAATTCGCCTTGCAAAGAGCGCGCGTAACTTTTTGTATGGACAAGAAGAAAAAAAAACAACGACGACGACTAAGCGAGAAATTCGCTCTATACGCGGCGTTCGCGAGGGCACAACGAAAAATGCGCACGATTGTCATGCATAATGCGTATACTATAATCTAAGTATTCCCGCATGCGTTGCATTTTTTTTTTTTTTTTTTTTTCAGAAAAATACTGCACAAGGCGTGTGCGCTTGGAAAAAAGAGAGACTTATGGCTTTTTACGCGCGCGAGCTAGCAAAACCTTGAATTAATATCACCGATGCATAAGCAGAGCGCGGCGCAGTCGATCGTTATTAATTGCCAATTTTCGAGCACTCTAATTGCTTATTATACTTATTTAGCTGTGTGCAGGAAGCGTCATATAATGTTTGTACCCACGCGACTTATCCAATGAACGTACACAATTTTGTTAGAAAAATAAATAGAGAGAGAGAGAAAAGAGAGGGGGGAAAGAGAGAAACAAAGTGCAATTATTTACATAATAATTCACCTTGAAAGATGCATCATTGAGCCGTGTATTATGGCTATTATAATCCCTCCTTGTTATTACGGACTTTCAATTCATATTCAATGAATCTCTCACGATCGTTTGGAAGAAGAAAAAAAACACAATAAAAACAGTTTTTTAATGCTCCTCAATATACCGTAGCAACTTGCGATAAAAATCCATGTTACAGATAACTTTAATGGGTTAATTTATTATCCTCGGTGGAAGGGTCACCTAACGTTAAGATGGAAAAAAATCAAACGAGCTTAGAGTGTAAAGAGTTTGCGATGATGACGATGATGATGATGATGCAAGGCCACTTTTCGTCGTCGTAAAATACAGATTAAGAGAAAAAAAGTAGTATATTATATACTGCACGCGCCAATGGCAAATCGTAAAAAAATGGAGCGGAAACACCGGCGAAGAATCGTTTGGGGTGTTGCTTAAGTTCGTTAATTTGCGTCATTGCTCCGTAATTGACTCGGTTTTAACAATTAAAATAAACTCGTGCGCGTGTTATGGGGCTGAAAAAAGTTCTCGTGAGTCCAAAAATAAAGTGGGACAAGAAGCATCCCGCAAGTTGAGAAAAATGTGTGGAATAGTGCGAGGCACAAGACAAACGTATTACTTTCACGTGCGTCATATATGGGGAAATTGACTATTAATGTCAAGGCCTCCCCTATTATAAGATATCATGGAAATATTACGCTGTTCGTTAGTGATTTTACACCTACTGCAATAAAATGTAGAGGGAAATTACCAACTCGAGAGAAAAGAAAGAAGATGTAGAATGAAGAAAAAAATATTATTTATTCAAAATACAAATCACTTTTTTGGGGAATTACGATTCTTTTGTCAAGTGGTGTTACTATGTGCCAAGCGACCTAATCGAACTGTAGCAAAATTTGTTTTTCTTCAAAACTTTCATTCAAGTTTATCCTCATTGTTCGCACAGTGTCCAATCTCACGAACCACCTTTCTTTCTTAATTTCGTCGATTCGAAACACATCGAATATATTTTCACGAAAAAAATAAAATAAAAATCTTAGCGAGCTCAAGAAAGCTCTGAAAACCCGTATATGATATTGCAATTGTAGCTCAGGGAGAGCAGCAGCAGCAGCAACAGCAGCAACAGCAGACGCGATAAGTGCGCGAAAGAGGCCTTCTCGCATTTTAATATCCTCACGCAGCCTCGACATTTGCGTAACCCAGTTTCGTCATTGTTCGATTCGTACATCCGTCGTTAAGCTCGTGATCGGTGGCAGCGCCACAGCACTGCTGGCGAAAGCTATCGTTTAAAATTATTTCTTTATTTTTTTTTTCGACGCTGCCACTGCCATTCTTTTTCATGTATCATCTATTTCGCGACGAATGAAGCAAAAAAATTTTCGGGGTTTCGTATTATACTCGCGGAGGTGCGAAACAATGACCCGAAAGTCTCACGCGATTTCGTCAAAAGCTGGTTTCCGGCGATACGCGAGCTCTCTCACAATCTTCCCAAATCTAAAAGCATACAAGTAGGACAAAAGACTGTGCGTAGTAGTGGCAGCATTAAAATTTGTGATCGCAGATGACTTTCAACTTTTTTTTTCTTTTATTGTCTTGCGCTGCTTTCTTGCGTTAATTTGTAAAGCGAAAAGACGATTGTGGAATTGATTTTTTTAGCACAGATATGGTGGTATTACGAATACATTTATTTGCCATTAACTCATCCATATGTACACAATGAAATTGAAAAAAGAGCACGCGAAACATCTGTCTAAGTCATAATAATCGTTTTTCTATCGGTCGTGGCCCCTATAAATCGAGCACAAATAAAAAAGTGTCAGAGATCAATAGACACACTCTCTTATTCGGTAAAACCATACATTACACGCTGTATCGGTCCCAATTACATAATTCCGCACAACACAACAATTGACTTTCGATTTCACTGAAAGTAAAAAAAGAACTCAATTAAACTTTCTGCTGTGCCACTGTCTACACGCTTTCTTTCTCTTTTCGTCCGATTTTCTTTCCTCTTATGCAATAGAAACCCACCAGAAATGCATCGGTAAAAAAATCAAGTATAACTGTATGACATCATACTCGTAAAGCGAAGAGAGAGAGAGAGAGAGAGAGAGAGAGAGAGAAAATGCGTTAGAAAGGTATGCGCGCTTCATCTCCGGATTCAATTGCTCAATCTCGAGGGATTCTCAAGAAAGATCAAATAATAAAACGACAGTTTGTGTCGATGATAAATCAGTGAAAGTTGTCTCGATAATATTCTCTTTTTTATTTTTGCATTGTAATCTGAGGTAAGGATTATGGCATTAAGCGTGTCATTCAAAAGTTAATGCGATGCAAGTTCAGATACGCGTAAACACGAGAATTAATAGAAATTCAGACATGAAATTTGATTAGTCGAGAAAGTCTTTTTTTTTGTTGTTGCGAAATAGCCGACTACTATTTACACACACGTCGTGTGTATCTAATCGTCAAAAAAATGATTAAAAATAGCTTCTTCTTTGTCGTCGCGCTCTCTCGCGTGTCAGTGACTCGGGAGCCGAAATTAGACCAAACTTTTACTACACATCAATAAATAACAATCGTGGCCGCGCGTGTATCGCCGTCGATAAGTAGGAAATCTGCTCGCGGCGAATCGACTTGCGTTGCGGCGAGCATCGTCGAGCGGCAGCACCTGCAGATCCCGCGTCGAAAAGCTCCACCCATTTGCGGAGCGCGCGTCGTCGTCGGAGTTCTAATATGCCTATGCCGACTCCGCCTCCAAAAAGGCCGTGACGCGTTTTACACGCGCTAGGATGAAAGTATGGAGTGTGTACACAATGCAGAAAACGTGACGGCACACACACACACACTCACACGCGATGAGGAGACTTCTCAATCTTGAACTTGACGAGGAGTCGAGCGAGCAAGAGAGAGAGAATGTATAAATGAGTAATTGCATAGATCCGCGCGTATCAGCTCTCGTCATCGTTGTTGAAAATGAGTAATAAGGCTTTTATTGACAGCTGCTGCAGCAGAGCAGTAAAGTGTCAGGCCTCGAAGGAGAGAGAAAATCTATTTTAGCTCCTATAAAGCCCCGAGATTGCATATTATTGCAAGCGTTAAGCATATCGTACAAGGATAACAGCGCATGCATGAATAATCATCGCAAATGTGGGTGGGATACAATACCGCACCTAGAAAAAAAAAAGAAAAAAACTACACAAGCAACGCATATATTACGCGACTGTTTGCTTTTAACGCGTCGCTGCTGCTGCAGCTGCTAAATGATTTTTTGGACTTGAAAAGTTTGAAAGAGCCGTGATCTATTGGCGAATTAGTCAAATCCGCGCCTATGTACATTATGGGTTTTTGTGTATCGACAGATCTCGCGAAACAGACACTTAGTTACTGCGCGAATATTCCATGAAAATAAAGTGGATGCGTCTGCGACACGACGATGCACCGCTGCTGCGTTGAGTATATCTAAAAATAAACACGCGCGCCTTTTTTCGAAGAAACTTCGCGAGCTTTTCTTTTACACTCGCGCGTTTTACTAATGCGAAGATTGCTGCTGCACGCGGCCGTATTTTAAACCTACTGTTTTCCAAATGAACTTTTTTTTTCGTTGACCGATTTCATAATTAATAGGCAACTTATCACTCGTCGAGAGAAGATAAAATCCCATTTCACGCCGCGACTACTTTCACGCGCGCCATCGCGACGCAGTTCCACGACGATTTTTTTTTCTAATTACAACACAATTGCGGTTATCGACTCTCATTGAGAAATTATGTGGATTTTCCGCGTACAACACTCTGCGGGCGATAATATAATAATACTGTAGTCAACGAACTCTGGGCACACGTCTATGTTACTCGAAACGATTGCTCCATTTCAACATATAATATTTGTTATGAATATTGTCAGCTTCAAGGAATTTGAGTTTTTTATCAGTACACGTTTTTTTTTTGCTTTGCTTTTACTTTTGTAATTGCGCGTGCAAAATTTTCTTATAATTGAACTTTTTTTTCTAGGCTTAAGCAGACCGATAGAGATAATCTCGTTGAAAATATCAAGACCACGAAGCACGTAGAAGCTCGAATTTTATAATGATAGAATTCTCTGTATCATCCTTTAAGCCAAGTGGTTATACGAAAATTGTAAGAACCGATTTCTCCCACTTTTTTGTCTCTTTTTTTGCATTTATATCAAAAATATAAGATACGAATGAAGCATGAATTCGAGTCCTGAATATCACGTCCACGATTGAAATGTGTTTTGTGCCCCGTGTGGCTCAATTGAATTTTGCAGAAAATGGCGAACTTCGGCGGCGAACTGACACTGACGTACAGCAAGCATCCGGCGACGCTGGCCGAGGAGGTCGGCTCCTGGTTCACGGGCGATCGACACGTCGACGTGACGCTGTCGTGCGACGACGGCCCGCCCCTGCGAGCCCACAGGGTCGTCCTGGCTGCGGCCAGTCCGCTGCTGGCCAATGTCCTGCTCGATCCGTCGATCGATCACGTCGTGCATTTGGCCGGGGTGCGTCACATCGAGCTGCGCTACATGCTCGAGTTTTTATACAACGGGGAGACGATCATACCCGTGAGTATAGATATAGCTATGAAACGATATCGTATCGACAGTCAACGATAAATTATGCTTTTGTTATCAGGCACACGAATTACATCCGCTAAAGGAACTTCTGGAAATGTTACAAATACGATCGGAACAATTCAATACCGGTCTAGTGGACCAATGTGAGTCGTCCAAGTCCGAAAAAGAGAGGGCGTCGCCGTCGGCGGAGAGCCGCGACGCCTCGAGTTACGAGTCACAATACGACGAGAGGTAATGAACCCGATGAAAGTTATCAAGATCAAAAATCATTTTTTCAAATTGGCCCTCCGTTGCATTCCCTAGGCACACGAGCGATCCAGCCGAGTGCTGCTCAGTGGTGATAAAGGCCGAGGACACGAACGAGGACGACAGCAACGAGGCCGACGACGACATCGACGTGAACGTCGTCGACGTCGAGAACAACGACGCCAACGGCGAGGCCGACACGCGGTCGCGCTGCTCCGAGAACGCGTGTCATGGCGGCGGCGGTGGCGGCAGCGAACGCGGCGGCAGCTGCGAGCCAAGATCTCAGCGCAGGGACAGCTCGGATCCCGTCAATCTGAGCCTGAATTCGGGCACGTCGAACGACAGCGGCCACCACGAGGTCAAGCACAAGGTCGAGTGCCACTACGACGACAACAAGAGGGACGTCGTCGTCGACTCGTCCATCCGAGAGAGAGAACGAGCTCTCGCTGAGAAATATAGGTAAGGCTTTTTTTCGATTGCGACTACCTGGAGAACTTCTACGGAGTTCTAGAACCGGAGCTTCTACGCTATTAAAAACGATCGCAAATTTAATGCAGATATAAAATCTGAGTTTAAAATTATTTCATGTAGATACTTTTACGATCTTCGTTGAAAATTTTATTTTTTCACATAAATTACACAACAAGCTCATTCAATTGCATCATTGTAAAATTTTTACGAAAAATTGAACAAAAAAGATCCAATTCTATATTTAAATTTAAAAATTTTGATTAAAAATTAATGCTTTATTACTACGGATTTATTTTTTGGAATTATTTACTCAAAAAATATATGAAAGTTCTATAGCCAGTCTCTAACGCTAGATGACGAGTTCCTTTATTTGTAAATCTACAAGTGGCTAAATCACAATAACAGTATAAATAACTATATAAGTAAGATACGCATACTTTCGTAATTTTAATTGTTGTACATACACTTGTACTCATCTGCTAAAAAAATTGCTATTATTATTTTTATATCAATTTTAAAATCATACAATCTTTGTAAATCTGCCTCGGGGCCGTATGTGGTCTATATTCCACGGTACAAATAATAAATAAATTAAATAATCAAAAAAATAATAATAATAATAATAATAAGAAGATCACAACACTATGTGGGATTTAATTAATTGATCTTATCAACGCAAAGGAAAAGACTTTCTCCACTTTTGCATTGACATTACTGTAAATATTTCTAACAGCGCAATTATATAAAGAAACGATTTCGCAGGATATCCTTCAAACAAGAATTGGAACGACGCGAATCTTACGAGCTCGAGGAGGAGCGCAGACGAGAAATGGCCCTGAGGATGGGACTGAGCATAGAGCCGGGAAAACGAAAAACGGAGGACCTGGCTTCTGGACCCGAAAAATACGTCGTCAAACCGCACAGAAAGCGACGTCCCGGTTTTTACAACGCACCGACGGGTAACACGGCCTTCGCCCCCTTCAATCCGAGCTTCGAGGCATCGCGACAACTGACGGCGCCGCAGCACTCGCACCCACCGATCACGCCCACGCCGCCGTTCCTCGTAAGCTTCCAAAAACATTTCTTTCCTGTAGGTGCCTTTTAGTGCATGCATTATTATTACTATTATTATTCACCCATTGTTGGTCCCCAAATCTAACGGAGAAAAATGTACCATCCCTAGTACGGTTATGTGTACCCAAACGAATTGCAGGTTCAAGATCGTCACTCGTCGGAGTCGCCGGTTTCGTCGTGTCGTCGAGCCCCCTCGGAGGAGCCGAGCTCGGTCGAGCCAATGGTGACGCCACCCTGGGCCGGCTGGGCAGTGCCCTCGGCCGCTCGCATACCCTCGGTCGTTCAAGTTCCGACGCCCGAGGACTCGCCCCGGTCGACGCCGACGGTGCGCGAGTATCGCTGCAGCTACTGCGGCAAACAGTTCGGCATGTCGTGGAATCTCAAGACCCACCTGCGCGTCCACACGGGCGAGAAGCCGTTCGCCTGTCGACTCTGCGTCGCCATGTTCAAGCAGAAAGCTCATCTACTTAAGCATCTCTGTTCGGTGCATCGGGGCATCATCACGCAGGACAACATGTTCAACTGCTGCTTCTGCACGGCCTCGTTCGAGAGCCAGTCCGAGCTCATCAGGCATCTGTCGGGGCCGCACAATACCCTGCTGCTGAGTAAAAATCTGTCGGAGGCCTGACTAGGACAACCTCCGATGGAGGCCGAGGCGACAACGACGACGTCGACTTCGAGCAGCTCCAAGAGGAGGAGAAAAAAGAAGCACCACACAGCACCACCGTCCAACTGCGACAATCCAAGTGATATACCATAATTGTGACCAAGACAATAGTAATTATTGTTAGTCTTTACGCTGAGCGCAAAAGACACACTAATACTTGTACGGAATCTAATTTTACTTTATTTTTTTCAATTAAAAACCACACGCGCGAGCGTAATAGAAATTAATTGTAATATTGTACCGACAGTAATTTAATAACAAAAACTAGATTGCGGCGACGCACACGTTTCTAACCAATCACGATATAACGTAATAAGCTTTATTCTTACTTTATAAACTAACGATCTTAGCTTTATTATTACTTCTGTAAGAAGAGAAATTATTCATTTTTTTATTTTTATCTTGAAAATTCTTTTGTACATAGTGTTCGATAGACAAAAAAATGAGCAAAATTGTGAATAGAATTAATGAAAGAGAGTTGTTATTAATTTTAACGTTCGAAAAATTTCGATTAAGAATGTGAGTAGATAATAATAACGGGACCAATTGAACTTCCACCGAATATCAGTTATTAGCATGTAGAAAACGTAGTAATTTATTTTTTATTTGTAATAGCGACCTGCCTTCAATGGGACCTGGAACAATATTTTTTTTGTTTCCATTCTTTCTTTCGTTTCATTTTATGCGCGTATTATTGCTACAATACTTTTTTGAAACATTTCTGTATAGATTCAGATGCACGATCCCGATTATAATTGATAAGCGCCATTGAGTATTATGAGAAAAAAAATTGTGATTTTTTCATACCAGGGTATAAAAAATCAATATATTTATCCGCCGATGTACGTTTCAACGAAAAATAAAAATCGAACGCCTTTTTAGAAGGGTCCGAATTGGTCAATTGGGCAGTGATTACATGTGTTCATAGACTTAAGCGTTTTTAGACAAAACTTTTATACAAAAAAAAGAGAGTCGAGTGAAAATATGGAGATAGAGAGAAATCATTGTATTGAGAAGTATACTTAATAATATTCATTGAGTAAGTACTTCTTTTTATAAAAGTTCTGAAATGATCTTGCAAACGGCGACAGCCTTTGGAATGCCGAAATCGAATCCAATCGCTGTTGAAGCTTCTAATTTTTTTTTTTTAGTAGATCGTGTATGGACGATCGTATGAAATTTTTAATAAAAAAAAAGTTAGCGATTAATATTTTTATTTTCTTTTCATAAATGTAAGTTTGATGCCGGACATCAGCTCTTATATTAATAGGAGTAACGAGATAGTTTTTTCTATCTCATAGAAAAAAATTGATTTGATTCAATCAAATGAAAAATTGAAAAAAATTGTATGCATAACATTCCAAATGAGTGCCTTACGAAAATATATAAGCCTTGAGAGAAAAATTATTTTTTGAAAAATATTATTATAGAAAATAGCTTTTTAAAGCAAACTTGTTACATCATAAGAGCCGCAGTGTACTCCAATGCAATCATGTATAATGTAGTTTATTAAAGGATAAATACGCAAATTTCATTGTCATAAATAAATAACGAAGCAGTCACACCAAAGATACGTTCGCGAGGCACGTTTGAACGTAAGGTTTGATTAAATCATAAACATAATGGATAATTTTCTATCATGCGACTTTTCTCCATGCTTACGAACTCTGACACTTTTAGTATTTTTTTTGTTGCTTTTATGAGCTTGAGTTAAAAAATACATTATTTATTTAAATCATTCAATGTTGTCATTATATTTAAATATAATATTATTTTTCATTTGAAAAAAAAACAGTTGCACATGTGCAGAAGTACTTAAAATGTTTCGTTTTCTAAATTCTTTATTCCATTCGAAGCTGCCCGCTTGATTCTTGAAAGTAAGGCATATATATAAAATGGCCAGCATGAAATGAATATGTTAATGCATAAATACAACACACAGTGAACGTAATGTGATACTAAATGATAATAAAAATAAAGTAATTATTATGTAACTCGCGTGCCTAGGTCCGTTCTCATAATAAAAAAAAAGTAAGTATGTAGCGCCGCTTCGCATCACATGTTTTTTCATTCATCTAGCCGAGTGAAAAGCGAGAGAGTTTAGTTATATGTACGAAAACTGTTCATTTTTTCCTGCAATGCATCTTTCGTAGTTTTAATTCCCAATTATGTTGATCATTATTAAATAAATTGTCATATTTTAGTTAAGTAGAGAATACGTTTAATGAGCACGATTACTAGATTATGTCACATTGTATAAAAAAATTAGCGTATAGCTTTAATAAATAGATTTAAAAAGACAATAATGCATAAAAATAATATAGTTATTTAAAATAAACTTTGTACATATAACAGAAAAAAGAGTTAGTTTTTTTTTATAATTCAATGCACAATAGGCAAAAGAGTGTACTCATAAGTACGAATTAAACGCGTGCCAAGTTTGCAGATCTTTCAAATGTGTGTACTATATGATATTTTTGCTCGGTTATTGAATACTTTTGTATGATAACGGAAAAAAAAGAATGCCTAAGAGTTTATGCGTTACGAAGAAATGACCAAACGATCGATTGTGAGTGACAATAATGGAATTTTTTATGGCGTTTTTCGTCACCATTTTGTGAATGTAAGATGTACCTTTTCTTGATAACGTTCGTCATAGTACAAAAACTTTTATTTTTGTTTTCTAATGTATGTAATTATTTTTTTCGGATTGGATGTTAATAATTTTATTTTTTATTACAAAATGCACGTTAAAACAGAGTGCGCTTTTATATACGAAGCTATAGAAAATAAATATAAAAGCTCGTAAATAAACAAAAAAAAATTAACAAAAAGAGAATTTTAATTATATCAATGCTCGCATATTCTTCATTATTGTTGAGACAACGAAGATAAAAGAGAATTTTTTGTACAATTTTATTAATATTATACACGCACGAAGGAAGATGAAGATAAAAAATGATCTCGCGACAAAGATGCACTTGTATACCACGAAACAAAACACCACAGTTACATTTCTCTCTATCTCGAGCTTTGTATTACTTCACAAAATGTTCTCTTGCTCTCCGATTTTTTTCTCTCGCTATTATCTACGTTTTATCTCTTTTTTTTCTTTGATTGTTGAAAAATCGTTAAGTTATAATTTTGTAAAACGTATTATTACCACATAGCTACTCTTCTCGAACGAGTGTAGCAATTCCGCCTCAAATGCTTTCTTAGTATTCGTAGATTTACATTGACGAAAATACATGAGTTGAAAAAAAAATACCTTCACGTCTGCAAGGCACTTTTAATTTATTTACCTTTCAACTCTATCTACTAACCAATCTATTGATTCTTACTCAACGTGTGTGCGCGCAGGTATATACTACAGGCGCACAAGTAAATGTGCACGGTAATATCCGGATTTCTTCTCGAGAAAGAAATCCAAGTGCATCATGAGTTGTAAAAGCTGCTCATCGGCGCTCCGACAAGTCCGTCTCTCGATGCATAATAGAATATAACAGGACTCGCTTGTGCACACACACACACATACACGTGATGCTCGTGCGAGCGAATGAAGCTTTTCTCGAGGTAAATTTATACTTGACGGGCTAATTTTCGAGTCGAGTCGAAAAATCACGCGCGTCCAAATTTATCAGGGGAGCTTGTGTGCATGTGAGCATACGTCGAAGAAACGTTTGCGCGCCAGTAATTTGCGCGAAGGATATCTTTATGATTTTATACGTATGTATCGTTGACTAACGGTACAGTTCTATGGGGATTTTTATTAGCGGCGCGCGAGCGAGCGAGCTTCCGATGCAATATGCGAAAACTGGTTTTAGAAATCTCGCGAAATTGCCTCGCGTAATATATATTTCATAACGCGTACGAGTGCGCTTGCGTACGTCGATTTTTCGATAATGCCATTTGGAGCTACTATAAAGTTCCATGGATTTGATTTGAATATACGCATATAACAATAGTGAAAATTTCAAACCTCAGCAATTAAAAGCCGAGGGTAATAAAATGCCTCGCGAACCCGCGACTCGACGTCGACGATTAAAACTCAGAAACCTCAGAGAAAAGGTATTCGCAGTGCGCGCATCTTACGCAAGTAAGAATGACTCCGTGTGTAGCTCGTATAGCTTGCAGTCAAAGCCGCGTGTATTCAACCGCAAGTCAAGCCAGCATATTGTACATCATCTCTCGGCAAAAAAATGTTACACAATCCGCGCGGCGGCGAGCATCATCGATTTAACGGTACGACCCTTTCTTCCACTCGAGATGCACACAGCACACAGGGTAAAACGACGATTGATCATACATGTATGTATACGCTCGCGTCCGCGTTATATTCCGTAGTAGACGTTAATTGCGATTTGCAGTCCGCGAGAAAGAGCTTATCGAAGCGAATATGATTTGGTTTGGCGCGCGCGCGAAACCCTTCCATACACATCGGCTCGTTTTTCCGAAAGGGGGAGGGATATAGCAGTGACTCTATAACGGTGCCGAGTTTTACTTTTGTGCAAAAAAAGTCACCGGGAACCCGTTATATAGGCCCCAACGACGACGGCGACTCTGCACTACCACCCATGAGGCTCTGCACGTGCACACACATGTACGTGTACCTATAATATACCGATCGCAGGTGTTGTACGTGTGGAGGCGCAGACGCAACACATATGAGTGCCGATCGAGAGAGAGAGAGAGAGAGAGCAAGAGAACCTCGATCATAAGCAAAATCGGTTGCGCTCGGTCAGATTTTAATGGCCAATTGCGCGCGGCGCGTCGAAAGAGAAAAGAAAGATTTTTGATTTGATCACGAGGATGACGCGTGATTTTAGTAGCGCACGTGTCTATCATTTGAATATTGTAATGCGTTGTTGTTGCGCAGATTCGAGCTGTGGCACCGTTATATGCCGGTAAGTCGAGATACAACTACGCAAGTCCAATCGATTCTCGGCCTGGTATGCTCGATGCTGATCAAAACTACATCTGATAACAACGAAGCACGCGAAAAGTTCCTCGGACTAACAACAGCAACAACATCGAGTCGAATTTTTTGAATCAATTCAGAGTTGCATTGGCGCGTTCATAATACCGAAAGGCATAAGATCGACGCAGATATTATCGAACGATCGTTATACGTTTGTTGCGCGCGTGCGATCGATAATGGCATTTGCACAGAGGGAAGGCGCGCGCGGCGGCACAGCCTCGAGAGTGGCCAGTGCACTTGTCTCTCTCGGCCGTCGTCTCGCGTACAGCAAACGTAAACCTGAACTTGAAGTGCCGCTTGAAGAGAGAGAGAGAGAGAGGTCTGGCCAACGTAGCGCCGCCGCCGACTGTCTGAGATTCTTATTTACACACATGCAGCGCACAACCACGCGTCGGTCGTGGTCGCACACGCCCTGAGAATCGATGCGACGATATTCTGTTTTCACTTGTATTTGGGTTAAGTGCATACACGCGCGGCACGACACGACGCGTGTGCAACTGCCTTAATAGACCCGTATAGGATTTAATGTCATCTATTGCGCTACGTTGGGTGCTTAAAAACAAAACAACAAAAATCTTATAACGCGACGAGCAACCAATTAAATTTTGCATGAATTTCAGTCATAAAATACAGTGTATACGTACATATATAAGTATGCACGCGATATAACGAAGCGGTGTACGTACACGCGGATTTTATGCCATCAGCCGTAAATTCTTCGCTGCATCCCCGTGTGACGTATATTGCCCAGAGGAAAGTCCTATCTGCCTTGCTCGCGCGGCTGAAGCAAGAGAGAAAGAGGAAAAAAATAAATTAAACTCGTCCAATGTTACTTCATACTCGTCGGCGGCGGCGGCTTATGTGTGCACGAGATAAAACCAGCTTCGCTGTCGGTGTCGTTCAACTCCTCTCTTCTTGCTCCTCCTCCTCCTCCTCTTTAAATATCCCCCGTGGCAGCAGAGACAGCAGCATCGCCTGCACAGTTGAAAAACAAAACAAACCGCCGCAGATTTTACCGTTTTACCGACGACTGCCAAAAATATGTTTTTTCGGCGCGCTACGTTGCGATTCCCACAAGTGTCATCTTCGCCACGCGGAGATATACCGAGAGGCGCGAGAGAGATCTCATAGGTATAGAGGTACAAGCAAGCTGCTCTATGCATGGTGTTACTATGAAGGATCATTCAAACTCGGAGGGAAAAAAGTTCATGCGAGGAAGGTACCGTAAGTCCTCTTCGTCGTAGTAGGGAGGCTGTGTGGTGATGCGTGTGTGCGTACGCGGTCAATGGTCTCTCTTTCTCTCTCTCTCGCTGTATACCAACTCTCTGCTACTCTCTGTGTGTTGTCTGCGCGCCAGGAGAAGAGAAAGAGGAAGAGAGGAAGAAAGAAGAGAGAGTATATAAAGAGCCAGCGAAGCTTGGTCGCCGATGCCAGAAACTACCCGTACTCTCGTTGCATAAGACACGACACACGACACACACACAACAGCGCACACGATCGTCATTAATAAAACGGTAACAACAACAACAACAACAAACGCGCGTCATCATGAAGTGCTCAGTGATATTAGGGATCTTGGCTACCCTGGCGGTTAGCGCGAGGGCGCAGATACCCAGCCTGGGATTCTGCCCGGAGTATCTGCCGATGGCCGGCTTCGACATGGAGCGGGTGAGTTGTCGTCGAGTTGGATCGAGCTGAGCTCGCGCGCGCGCGAGAAAGACGCATCGTTATTCCTCCCTTGTGTGTTGCATATGCAGTTCAAGGGCATCTGGTACGAGGCCGAGCGGTACTTCCAGCTGTCGGAGGTGGCGTCGCGCTGCGTCATGTCCAACTACACCAAGGGCCCGGACGGCAAGTTCTACGTGACCAACGAGGTCATGAGCCGATTGTAAATATCTCTCCTCACGATCGTTATATAATGTAACGCCCGCGCGCGCTGAGTGCGAAATCTCAAAAATAATAATCTCCCCGAATCACCAAACTAGTCACGGGATTTTCAGCACCGGCATCAAGCGAGTCCTCGAGGGCGAGATCAGGAAGCCGGCCTCGAAGGCGGAGGAGGGCAGGCTGCACGTCAAGTACACCACGGTGCCGCTGATACCGCTCGAGACCCAGTACAACGTCCTGGAGACGGACTACGACAATTACGCGGTCATGTGGAGCTGCTCGGGCCTGGGACCGGTCAATACCCAGAACGCCTGGATCATGACCAGGCAGCGCATCGCAGCCGGTGAAATTCTTCAGAAGGTACGTATACAGTGACGCTCGAGGTAGCCAAAAAGAGGTTGGTTACGCGAGGCTATTGACTCGTCTCGCGTTTGCAGGCCTACGGAGTCCTGGACAAGTACAAGATCTCCAAGGTGTTCTTCGTGAAGACGAACCAGGACGACTGCGCCTACCTCGACAGTCTGCAGTCCGAAGCGGCCGCCAACAAGCCCATCACCGAGCCGCCCAAGCAATACGATGACGAATACGAGGAGGCACAGCCACTGAAGAAGAACGCCATCAGGGAGAACGTCGTTCCTGACGCACCCGAGGCCGTCATCAAGCAGAGGCGCGCCGAGATCGCGGCCCAGGAAAAGGCTGCCGCCGAGAAGCTTGCGCTGCAGCATCCGAAAATCATCGCACCCGTTGCCGAGCTTCCGCAGCCAGTAGGTTAGTACAACAACGACGACGAAAATTTTCCTCTCTTTTCAACTATGTAATATATTTCGCGTCTCTTTATCACGATCAGTTGCCGAAGAGCCAAAAGTGGCGGTACCGGAGCAGCTTCCAATTGTAGAGGCAACACAGGAGGTCGTCAAGGAGGCCGAGCCCATCGTGCGATCGGCGCGTCCAGCCGTAGCCGTAGTAAAAACCAAAGAGATCGAACCGGTTGCCGAGGTGATCAAGACTGAAGTTTAGATTCGACGATTATTCCACTTAATATAACGCATCTAATTTTAAATCATACCTGCATCTTCCTCGCGTGCGCGCAAAAGTATACGCATATTACACATACTACGCTTACTGTATAATGTGCTTTGACGAAAAAGACTTGCCATCATACTTCATCAACAATCTTTCCGAAGAATTCATTAAAAAAAAAAAAAATAAAAAAAAAATATAAATAAATATTCAAAGCTCGGAGCGGATCAATTAGACTGAGTCGTGTGTCGTGCGCGCGAACCAAAGTATTAAAAGCTCGATCCATGCTTGCCAATCCCGTTCTCGCCGCACCGCGACGTATCCGCAGTCTCGCTCCGGACGACTACTCGCGATAATACAATTTTTAGTAGCCTCTCTCAGCAGCTATCGCTACACGTATACGATTCTTTCGTCCCTTATACGCCCTATACTCGAGTACTGTACTTGATATTACATTTTTTTTTAATATACTCGTCTCGATTTCGCGATCGAGGCGGCACAGCCCACGTCGAGGGGTACAAAAAAAAACAAAAACATAACAATTGTAGCCGAAAATTAAAAAAAAGGCCGTAAACGAAATGTCGAAAAAAATGCCAAAAAAAAACAAAACAATCAATCACAACAAAATGCGAAACAACGCCGAACTGATAAATAAATTGTTACAAAAAAATGTTATTTTTAGAAAAATTAACACGATGGACTTTTTCATTTTCAAAAACCCTAACTCCTCTTTTATTGAAACTATTATAAATAATGTTACGATTGCAATGAGTCGACGATTTATATATCTCGAGCGAGGAGCACAGGCCGCGTGCGTGACACAGGTGTGTGTCGTCCACGTACAATACATGAGCAGCAGCAACAACGAGTGCACAAAAATTACGTAATCCCGTTGATCTCTCGAAGAGAAGTAAGTAACAACCGCTATCGAAACGAGTGAGAGCAACAGCAGCAAAAAAGGGTATAATATCCTTTGGCTAAATTCGTTCTGCTCGTCGTTACCGTTAGCGACCCAGTAACACGATCATGATGCTGCTGCTGCTCGTTGCGTTGCACTTGACGTTTTGTCGCGTTGCTGCTCGTGCAGGCCTGCGGATCAGTCTCCCGAGAGAGAGGTCAGACAGTCGCTGGCATCGCCGAAGAGAACAACTGTAACACAGAGGCGATCTCTTCTCGCGACCCGTGTGTGTCGCTGCTCTCGCGTCTGGATCACGAGCTATATAGAGGGTATAAGGCAAAAAAAGGACATTGAACAACGCTCGTGTGTGTGTGTTAGCCTCTCGGAACGGATCGAGTCAAGGTCATCAGCACCGCACATACGTACGATACACGCAGAGAGACAGGTAAGGGAGAGAACAAGGAAAGAAAGATTTATCAGGCTCGCGTGCACTGTACTACTACTCGTGTGCCGAGCTCGCAGGATATACACGTATTATAAGAGAACCGGTATTAAAGTACGCGCGTGTGTAGATGTGTGTATCGGCGCAATCGATGATTATAGCAAGTCGGCGCAAATCGGCTACGAGACTAACTGTTTATGATGTATTAGGATCTTTATACCGTTTGATAAACTCAGCCGGGCATTTTTTGACAGCGTCTTTTCTTTTCCTTGCTTTTTTTTTAATTGAAACGGCAGCCACACAGCTATATAAGCTACTGCGCTATCCATCGAGTGTACTTTTTACCGAATTAGATAACAGTTATGTTTCAATTTTGCGCACGAATCATCGAGCGAGGACGTTAAATCATCACGAAAAGCTTAGCTATACATTGTTTTCATTTGTTGATGCAGAGGTTGTACCATTGTTTTTCTCTCTGTTGTTCTTTGCGTGCGTTTAAGATGTCATTTTCATGGTTAAAAATGTCAGCGAGCAACGCAAAGATTTCTATTTTTTTATCTCTCGTAATAAAAAAAAAAAAATAGATGCTTTGCGCGACGCATCGACATAACTCAATGAGTAATCGTGTGTAACCTGGAAACAGCAGGCAAAAAAAGCATGACATAATGACAAAGATAAGCAATACGCAATTCGAAACGGAATACAGGATTTTATTTGTATTATTTTACGAATATTTATGCCGAGCTATGTACGTTTGGATACGTTTCGGATAATTATCAGCTAGCGAAAGTAAAACATCAATTACCAATGTCCCCATCGTAAAAACAATCAATCAGTCTGTGCTGCAATTTTTGTTTGTCAACAAATTTGCTCAAATATTGCAATAGTTATCAGGGGCTTTTATCGTCATCGTGCGATCCCGCGCATGTCATCCAAATCTCCTCGAGTCTCGAGTGCGCGCGCCGCCTATTATTATAACAGCTCGCGATAAATGCCTGTTTCGAAATTGAAAACAAGTTTCTTTTTTTTTTTTTGCTACTGCCGCTGCCGCTGCAAAGCACTCCACCGAGTTACGCGCAAGCTTCGCTACGATCATATATACCGGCACTCCGCGGACGGACGACAGTGCAAAAGCCTTTTTGTCCGATTCATTTACGTTCTCATAGCCACGAACGAAGGACGTATTTGGCGTTCGCGTTCATCAGTAAGTCCATAAGCGTGTGTGTGAGAGTCTGTACATAAAATATACGCATATATTTAATATTTAGCGCGTGGATGCGTCCATTAATTTAACGACGGTTATTTTTTTGTGCATTTCACGTGTCGTCGTTGTCGCGACATCGCGGAGCTATTTCATCGGAATACACAACTAGTCGCGTGCGCATAGACAACGCGTACACGTGCACCGCATGATTAATTATATAAATGTTTAAAGCACATGTGTTCGATTGTTGGATTCGCGACGAGCAGAACTTCTCAAAGAAAATTAATCGCGCGGAAGCTTGACGTTCAACACAATGCACACACACACACACACACACAGACACGAATTATTACGTCGTCGCATGTGGGTTTAGAGAATTATTAGTCATAGAAATATATAGCACCGATACACAGCCCGGTTAATTTGTTCCTCGAGTGTGGTGCACGCTGATAACGAGTCGCTTTAATATTTTTCCTCGACGCTTCGGCGCGCCAACTTTCATATACGTATGTCGAACGGAGATTCCTATTAGAGAGGTGCGCGCGAGCAAACGAGTATCATTGTGCGTGTACAATTGCTATTTCGCTCGCTAACACGCTGTTGACATATATTTTTAAACAACGTTTCAGAAAGCTACGCCATGTGGATATTACTACCGCTGCTGGGATCGCTGCTCGTCAGTGGCGCAATCGCACAGGTACCTTTTCTCGGTGGCTGTCCCAAAGTCGATCTGAAGCACGACTTTGACGTACAACAGGTAAATAAACAGTGATTATATTATCTATATACTTTATACGGGCATTAATAATCATTCGTGGAAGAGAAAAAAGCGCGACTCATCCTATCTCGGTTACTCTGTAATTTACGATTTTCACAGTCACATCCTCATAGCAGCGCGAGTATTTTCCAAAAGAATTCACTAGGCATTTGAAATTAAATGTACATTCATGAGCTTTCGGCGGGTAAATTTCGCGGAAAAGATAATTTATGCCATTTTTTCGACGGTTCATATAATAAACAAGGATAAAATATGCGAAATAATATTTTAAAGTAAATTTTTACTGAAAAGGGGTAAAAAATCAAAAATAAAATGAAAATTTAACGAGCCCCCGTGACATACTGTCGGCTGACCCATGCACGTCTTCTCGTTTTCTGAGCTCATTCGTCACGTCCTACTGATCGTGCATCGGCATTAGCATACAACAGCGGAGCTGCTGCCAGTAATTCCCATGTAAATGCCGGCGCGCACGATGCTCGCAACCGATTTATATTGTTGTCATATTGCAGTACCTCGGCAAGTGGTACGAAGCAGAGCGTTACTTCGCTCTCTTCGAAGTAGGCGGCAAATGCGTTACAGCTACGTACACTCTTAACCCCAATGGCACTGTGAGCGTCGAGAATCGACAGATAAATACCTTGTAAGTGTACTGCTGCATTTTCTAGATCTCTTTTCAAATTATTACGACCCGCAAAGAAAGTTAACGTGCGCACGCACACACGTTTTTTTGTGCATTATATATCGCCAGGACTGGGAATCCTTCGAGCATAGTCGGCCATGCCACTCAGAAGAACGACAATAGAGCTCAGCTGTCTGTCGTTTTTCCGTCTCTGCCGGTAAGTTTCGACGCGCCTTACTGGATCCTGGATACCGACTACACGTCCTACGCCGTTGTCTGGAGTTGCAACGATTTCAGGGTCTTCAGGTACGTAAACGAAATATATTTCTGAGAATACTGAAGTCAGGGTAATGTTGTAGAATATTATTATAAAATACTTTCTAAAAGGCGTTTGATGATTAAAACCTAATAATAATCTATTACGAATAACGAAATTCAATTCATCACTGACATTTTATGGCATTTTCAGCACGAGAAACGCTTGGATTCTTACGAGAGAGCAGCATCCACCAGTGGCAGTTTTGGAAAAAGCATACCATGCATTAGATAAAAACAAAATAAGCAAAGCCTTCTTTATGCGAACGGATCAGAAGAATTGCGTAGAGAAGGGATCCTCAGAAAATCATGTTTCTTAAAAATTTTAATAATTTTATCAAATTGTTTACTTCCATAAGTTTAGTTCCAATTCACTTCAATTTATTATTCAAATAAGAAAAATAAAACTATCATATGATAAATTATAGTCCTTTTTTTAAGGAAACAATTTGCACGTGAAGCGACCAATAATCGCAATCATCCTAATAAATATTGTGATAAATAAAAAAATGTTTACTTTTAAATGAATTGTATTTTTTCATTGTGAATAATAAAGTTGTGATAAATTCCACAAAAAAATGATACAAAAAATTAATTTATGTTCAAACCACCTGTATAGAAATCAGTATTTGAAAATCAACTGTACACTACTATTCTTTTAAATTTCTCCTTGAAATAGGAGTTGTAAGATGTATAGATACACATCAGTGGTGAATTAGATAAAGTGCGACCCAGATAAAGAAATTTAAAAAACGTTTTTTGGTTTAAATTAAATTATTAAATGGTGTCCACGTTTGGTACATTTAAAACTCTCAAAGTCCTTTAGAACTGGAAATACAGATGTTTAAAGTTTTACTGAAATGAAAGTACTAAATCTTTTAATTTATCATAAACCAGATATGGTATGATCATCACAGAAATGAATCTTGAATTTCCAGTAAAACTTTAAACAGCTGTATCTTCAATTCTAAAGGACTTTGAGAGTTTTTACATGTACCAAATTAAAGGTAATTTTGTATTCTTTAAGACCATATAACTATTATAGGGTTCAAGTTTGTCTAGCATTTTTAACTCTCAACAAACCGAGAAATTATTAATTGAAATTACTCGGTATTTTTTCTGGAGTGGTCGCGGAATTTCCCATTAATTGTCATACAGCATTTGAAATTGGACAGACATTAATAACGGACACGATTGATAAAAATTTCTCGTAAATTAAATTTAAGATAATCAATACCATCAAGAATTTGAATCATCGAAATACAAAAGTAAAAAATATCAACAACGAAGACATAACTATATCACCATAATTGATATTTCAACGAATTTCTTTGAATATTAATAGCAAAAATTATATGAAAATGTATCTTTATTACGAGCTTACCCCAATACCGTTATCGTTATTCGACGAATCAAGAAAATTAATATTTTACAATAATTTTACAACGATTGAAATACGAATGAATGCAGAAAAACTGTATGTCGTCAGTGGGGGATGCCTTATCCACAAATAAGTATAAAAATCTGGAGATACTATAGATACTATATTTAAAAACTATATCATTTATGCTGAAAGACAATTTCCTCCAAACAGTATTATTGTATTCGGCGAATACGATCATGAATTGAGTACGAAATCTCATAAACATATTCGAAGACAATCTACTGTTGTGGGTGAAGAAATTTCTTTTGATTCATCAACTCAAATTTACATGCACACTCAAACAGAATGTATTTCTGGGCACCACAAAAAATAAGTCCAAATTAATATCTATGCTCATTCCAGCCTTGCATAATGCAGGCTGACGAAGATGATGCTGGTGCGCTAATTGTCAATACAGCAATTAAAGAATCTGACAATACAAGCAAAAATGTATCTGAATTTTGAGGCAAGATACGGACTTATTGGGTATATTTTTACAACTTGGACGTCACTTGTACTAGTCTTTTAATAGTACACTGAAGATTTTTCCACTTGCAGGTGTGATTTTTGGGTTATGCACCACCTAGTGAACGGATTTGAAGCTCCGAAAATAGAAGGACGAGGAAATAATAAGTCGAGTATTTTATATACATTGATTGTTTAAATTTAAAAAAATTAAGAATTATAAAATGTATTTTTACTGATGAATAACTAATTTCAAATTGCAAGTATCCATTATCAAAATGATTGCATATATGAAATTGACTATATTGTAAAAAAATGTAGAGAACAACTCTGTCCAAAAAGGAAGAAGCTAAAATGTATATTGAGTTCGAATTATTTTTAGATTAAATTTTAATATTATATTTAAAATGCACGAATTAAAGAAATATATGTATCTACCTCGAAACAAATGCATTATTAACTAGTGCAATTTTGATGAATTTTCCAAATTTAAAAGTTTTACTCAAATTTTGAGTAAATTTTCGCGATGTATTAGATTCAAGTTATCGGTAAAAAATCAAATATAAGCTTACGATAGTAATGCATCATTATAAATTAAAGCCGATATTAAATGATCTTTTGGAGTTAATTATCATCTGCCGATAAGCATGACCGGCACTTTATCTGGCCTTCACAAAACGTCTAAAGCTGCTAAAAATTTATATTTATATTATCTTTAAATAGCCACCATTTTTCGTATCGGAGGAAAATAGAATTGAACTGGAATGTAAGTAATTTTAGTACTTATTTACTCATCTCAGTAATAAGACTTATGGACAGTACATGCTTTCGACGATACAGTGGTAAAGAAGAAATTTTTTTAGTTTTTAAAATACCCGTGAGATGACAGTTTCACTAAAAATATTGTCGAAATTTCAATCAGCGAAAAACGTAAAGAAGTATTATAGATATTCAATAAATATTGACTTGATTGATTTGAAGATTTATTAGCAAGTCCAATAGTTGAAAGAATGAACACTATAACGTAATCTTATTAAAAGTAGTTAGTCAAATGCAGTTGAAACACCAAACTATGAGTTCTAACTTGAGTATTTGTGTGTTTCGTAGACCTGTACAACATTATCATAACATTTCCTAATTATTTTATTCATGATAGTGTTTTGCCCATAAAGAAAAATGCAATGTTTGCATTTTTGCTTATGCAAATAATTGAATGATATAAAATAGAAAATAATACGATTGAGCGTGCCTATAGGTCAATTTGGCTTAGTGTATTTCCGCATTAAACGGGAACGTGACCGTATAGAGTGCATATGTAAGCGAACCCCCTGCGGACATTGGTCGCACCAAAAACCAGTCATGACCGGATAAAATCGTCGTAAATTCATAAAAAAAAATATAAAGAAAAAAGGAGAGAGAAGAGGAGAAACTGCTTCACCGCAGGAGTCGCATATATGTATAAGGTAGAAACGAATTATTGTGTGCATCACTCTTTTGTAACAGTTTGCTATTTACGAACTATAAACGCCTCCTTCTCGAATGGATTTCATGCTACATGTCCAGACGCTTTAGGTTGCATTATAATATTCAATTCGACGATCATTCACGTTTGGAAGTGCTTTTTCAAAAATCTAATATGATTTCATTTTTGAAAGCTTATAACGCCAAAATAATTCCCGCATTTCAATGATCGAGAATAAATCTAACTATTAGAATAATAATACAGGGATTAAATTATTAAGGTAAGCTCAACAATTAGAAAAATAACTTATATTTGATTAGGATTATTAATATCGACCGATAAAATCAGTAATAAATGACTGATTATAGCTAACACGATGAGAGTTTATCACGAGTATACAATTTCGCTCGACTGATTGTTTTAAATGAAAACTATACTAAACTCGAAGGCCTGTGAGCTGCAATATGAAAGAGATATCGTGATTGACACTTAATGCAATGTTTTTCCCGGAAATTCTCATTCCAATCACTTTTCCCTTGAACAATCTTAAATGATAATTATTGCCTGCTCATACACAGGATGGCATACTCTGTTATAAGAATATAGCTTCATGCTACATGCGTAATTGTGCGCGCTCGAGTACCTAGGAATTAGTGCAGCTTGATGAAAGATAAATTAAACACTGTATAAACCTTTGCAAGGCTTCCAGGAAAGAAATGTTCTGGTTCTTTTTAGCAAATAAAAGTATAAAAAATGGTTTTGAGCACGCGAAAATTTGTCCTTAAATCTTTTTTACGCTCGACAATCTATCAACAAGGTCTTGGAGCGTAAAATAATGTTTCCATTGCCGTTGTCAGCAGCAGCACCAACAGCAGCAAAAGCAGCATCATCATCCCAGCTGCCAATCTCGCAAAATGCCCTTTCTCTCCTCACCCTCCATATTTTCTTGTCGAGCACAAATACGGTCATCGCACGCGCGCGCACCTTCGCGCTCATGCGTAAACAAGAGTCAAGTACTACGGCTCGTAAAATCGTATGCAGAAGAAAGAGAGAGAGAGAGAGAGACAGGGAGGGAGAGATAATGCAAAATCATCCGCTCGCGCGCGCTCTGGCCTGCAAGAAGAAAATTGGCGATGATGCTTGCCTCGCTACTGCCCCGATGTATCCGGCTCTCCTTCTCTTTTTCATCTTCTAATAACAGGGTACGTGTTCGAGGCTAAACAAACATACACGCCCCATGGCAAGCAACGAGCGCACGGCACAAAAATCTCCAGCTCTGCACGCGAGAGAACCCGAGAGATAACGAAGTTCGAAAAAAAAAATCTTGCGAAAGAATAAAGGGTAAAAAAATCATCGCGTATATATATAATATATGTTGAAGGGAGAAAATGAGCCTTGTCTCGTTCTCGTCGAGAGAGAAGGAGAGAGAGAGAGAGAGAGAGAGAGAGAGAGAGAGAGAGAGAGAGAGAGAGAGAGAGAGAGAGAAGTTCAATAACTCCTCGCGGCCACGAAGATTTTACTCTTCGCGATTGTAACGTACAGCCAGACACGAGTATAGCACTACACTGGCGTGCAGGTAGGTCTCCCTTTTACTCACTCTCTTGCAGATCGTCCGAGAAAAGAATTTCAAGCGAGTTTTGCAGCTCGGACCGACGTTGTATCAGTGGCTCAATTTTTGGAAAAAGTAAATTGAGCCTCGTTTTTGGCGACGGATTCGCCCTATTGATTGGTTCTCGTAATGCACGTCGTTTTTGCACGTCAGAAGCAGGCACACGGGTCGCGCACAATCGTAAAAAGCCCAATCATGCGATCGGTCGAGGCAACGTATATAGGGTAGAGGAGAAAAACATCAAAGCTCACCATTTTCCGCGCTATTTTCAATCAATCACCTTTCTGCGTCTGCATGAAAGTCCATTTTCTGCCGTTCCGCATGCATACGTACTTATACATTACACACAAACGCGCGCGCAGGTTGGCTCTCCCCCTGATAGTATATATTCGAGCTCGTGTCGAAAGCAATAACAAACAAAAAAAGAGGAAAAAACACAGGCGAGCGCAAAACGAGCTCGAGCTGTGCAGCAGCGGATTCTTGCCCGCAACAGAGCGCAGCAGTCAAAACATAGCATGTACGCACAGCACGTACTGCCCGTATATATGCATGTGTGTGTGTGTGC